TCAATCTGCGCGGCCAGTCGTCTATCTTACCACGAACGAGGTCCATGTCATATCGGCGGCTGCCTTAATTAAAGATGTCTTGAGTGACTCGAAATTGGGATGAGGCTTTGAGCACACCTTTTCCTTCAAGTGTTACCATATCTTGTAATTTAACGGATTCAAATCTGGACTGGTCTTTGTGTCGGATGAAGTCGATTTCACGCGCCGCCAACCAGTCTTTTTTTTTTGTTTTTTAAAGAACGTTACCTCCACACTAGGTTTTTCTCCTGTATCGTGGGGGCAGTTTACAAACACAAATTTCACAAGGACAAACATCCAAACTCGGAACAATTACTTGTAGGTCGTACAAATACTTGTTCCGTGCGGGATTCGAACCCGCGACCCCCAAGCGCAGCCACTCATTGCTAAGCCACTACGCCACGGAGCTGTCAAAAGTCTTGTGTGCTCTTCCCTCTATGAGCTGACACCGAATCTTGTTGGAATACCCAGTGCCTGTTATTGAACATGGTATGAGAAACAGGTTACACAAGGTTCGTCAGGACTGTATTTTGATACACAACTGCATTCGTTTTAACCTTTCTCACAAAAATGTACCTCTGTTAAGCCCCAATAAGAAACTCCCAACCATACCATGAGCGAGGATGGAAAATGACCTCGTTGGACACGCGGAATACGGTTGCTCGCTTCTTCACTACTGTGTGCGTACACCTTATCATTTTGTTTGTTGTAGCTCTCTTCTACGGTAAAATTTTTTTTATCCGAAAAAAGATTTCCCGATATTTTTTTCCCGCGTACCGCTTCACCAAAGCGCGGCATCTCTTCAGTCTCAGATCCATTAGACGAGCATTCAAACGATGTCCTGTTTTTCTTCGATATGCCCAAAGCCCTAAGTCTTCATTTAACGCCGTGGTTCTGCTTAACCCCATCTGAAGGGCCAACAGTTTCTGCTTACGTTTGGGATTGCTTTGAATTCGTACCTTTACGGCTTTTATTACTGCTGGAGTCCTAACAAATCGAGGGCGACCACTTCTTGACCTGTCATCTACACTAGAGTCTTCATTGTATCGTTTGATGGTACGATAAACGAATCTTTTGGTTGTATTCAAATTTTTCAGTATATCAAAAAATTTAATTGGCGCGTAATCGCAACTGCAACACGGTCTTTTTTAAGCGTCCACTCCATATGTAAAAATGAGTAAAATTCTAAAAAGTATACAGTTTTATTTTCATGAACAATTCGAATTCAATAAACTTTTTTGTGGCCAGCATTCTAAAACAAAAGTTTTTACTGTGTGACAATACTTATGACATGACTAGGTATATACGTTGGTACGTGGGTGTACATGGGCAGTCTGTTAGCAGCATAAACATTATTTTCTAGACTGGGGTGAATCTTTTTCAGATGTTGTTGTACATCTAGTGTATCCATGATATTACTGCTATTAGTAGATTACTACAGTACAATCTACTCAATGACTAACATAGGAATGATCAATTATGTGATTTCTATATATTAAATTGCATTTTTTTCTGTTATACAAAACGTATTTGAGTCATCAATACACTGAATAAGACGCAACACGAAGAATGTGAGATAAGGTTGTTGACGCATAAAGTTATTATCAATTCTACTGTAGAAATTCTTTAGATTAGAATTATTACTTACTGGTACTATATAAGACCAAGCAACTGCAGTCATGGAGTTAGTGTATGGTCGTTTGACCGCAGTGTATCTATCAATAATACATTTGTGTTACTTCAACGCATCAAAGGCCATAGATGTAAGTGTTTAATCTATTGACAAACTTACTTTTCTTTCTGTTATTTTTTTACGTGTGTATGATTTTGAACGACAGGCCTGTTGGTCTAGTGGTTAGTGACCCTGACTGTTATGCCGGAGGTTGTGGGTTCGATTCCCACCCAGGACAAATGTTTGTGTGATGGCAACGATCATTTGTTCTGTGTCTGGGTGTAATTTATCTATAATATTTATGTATTTAGAAATATATAAGTATGTTTATCAGTTGTCTAGTACCCATAACACAAGCTCTGCTTAGCTTGGGACTAGATGGCGTTGTGTGATAGTTGTGGAATATTATTATTTGGGGTATCTTTATAGTTTTCTCATCTGGTTGGGTTCTATAAATATATAATTATAAATGAAAATGAAAAGATAAATATACATAAATATCAATAACATAAAATAAATATAAAAGTACATAAATAAGTAAAAGCCCAACCAGATGGAGGCCCTCGGCAGGGGAGACCAAACGGCCAAGGGTTAGGGGGAAAGGGAAAGAAACCGGCGGACGATGCGGGCGGTATCGAGGAGCACCGCCTTCTGCATTTGAACCTGGAGCGGTCCGCCACGTAGTCCCAGCCGCCTCAGATGACCCGAGAGGCTGACTGGGATTAGCCCGTTTGCAGAGACGACTACAGGAATAATTTCGGTCGGCAGACCACCCCACATGTCGGTCACCTCGTGAGCCAGGTCCAGATATTTTGTTTGCTTGTCTGTTTCGGCTTTCACGAGGTTCTCGTCATACGGAATGGTAATGTCGACCAAAAATATCCTTGACTGTGCCCGGTCTATCAGCACAATATCAGGCTTATTCGCAAGAATAGTCATGTCTGTGATGATGGCCCGGTCCCAATAGAGCCTGGCGCGATCATTTTCGAGCACGGCTTCCGGCAAGTACTTGTAATACGGCAATTTCCGATCCACGAGACCATATTTCAGAGCGAGCTACTGGTGTAGTATTCTGGCTACTAGGTTGTGCCTGTGCAAGTACTCAGAGTTAGAAAGCGCTGAACAACCGGAGATAACATGCCTAAGTGACTCAACGGGATGGCGACAAGCTCGACAGATGTCGACGGTGCCATCCTTTAGGATGTATCTCCGATAGTTGTTGGTCTTAATAACCTGATCCTGTATTGCACAGACAAAACCCTCGGTTTCCCCGAAGAGATCCCCAAAGCGTAGCCAGTGGAGGGAGGCTACTGTGTCTACGAAAGGCTCATGTAGAGCCTTGTAGAACCTCCCGTGGAGCTCCTTCTCCTTCCATACGGTCTCCCGGTCGGAAATGCTCTGCACTGCCGGGTCTTGCCATTGCTCGTTGGCTAAGGATAGAGGGGTAAGTCCTTTATCACAAGAAATGACGTCCTTATAGAATGGATCATCCGATCTCGCAAGGAAGTAATCACGGAGGCTGCACACTTCGCGATTATGCATGGTGAGCGCGCTCAAGAAGCCACGACCACCATGTTTCCGCGGCAAGTACAGCCTCATTACCGACGATCTCGGATGATGCATCCTATGGGACGTCATGGTAGTGCGGACTTTTCTATCCAGGGCGTTAAGTTCAGTCTGAGTCCACCTGAGTATGCCAAAGGTATACATGAGGACAGGCATGACCCAACCGTTATATGCGTGTGCCTTATTCACACCGGACAAAAGGCTGTTAAGCACTTTGGTCAAGCGTGCATAAAACACGTCGCAAACTGACAATTTCATACCAGCCTCATCGATACCGATGTTCTTTGACATACCCAGGTATCGGTATGTTTCAGCCTCGGAAAGGGTTCTTAAGTTGACGGGCATAGATAAGTCTATGCCCTCAGAGTTAGCAACCCTTCCCCTTTCAACATGGAGGACCGCACACTTATCCGTCCCCAGCTCCATTCTAATAGAATTGCTAAATTCACACGTGATGTTTAGCAATTCCATAAGATGGGAGCGACTGGAGGCGAATAATTTGAGGTCATCCATATAGAAAAGGTGGGTCACTTTTGTACCTCCTTTCCGAAGCTGAAATCCCCTCCCGGAGCCCTCCAGTAAAGTACTGAGAGGGTTCAAAGAGAGGCAGAACCAGATTGGACTCAGACAGTCGCCCTGGAATATACCCCTTCTTATCCTTATGCGGCTTTCCGCAGCCGTCATCCGCTCGCCTAGATGACAGAGGATCGTACTCCACTGCCCCATACACTGCTCGAGGAAGTCTCGAACTGTACAGTCAATCTTGTACAGCTCGAGGACCCTCTTTAGCCATGTATGGGGCACCGAGTCAAATGCCTTTCTGTAGTCTATCCAGGCGGCGGAGAAGTTCCGACGGTTGCGTTTCACCACTTTGCCAATGACCGCGTCAATGAGGAGTGGTTCCTTGGTTCCACGACCGCCGCCCCGACATCCATTTTGAGCGCGCGACATCACCTGATTTAAGTCCAGGTGACGAGCGATTCTTGCGCTCAAAATGGATGTTAGTGTCTTGTATATGGTCGGTAGACACGTGATGGGGCGGTATTTGCTCGAGTCTGTCGCACCCTGATCTTTAGGAACCAAATGAGTGATCCCAGTAGTGAAGAAGCTCGGCAGCGACTTCTGGTTGAGAGCCTCTTGAAACTGTCGGGCGAGCACATTGTGACACACCACGAATCCCTTCAGCCAGTAGTGATGCAGCCTGTCGAGTCCCGGACTCTTCCAGTTCGAGGCCCTACGGACCGCCTCAGCTACGTCATCCGGCGTTATGGTGACGGGGTCCATGGGCGTAATACTCGCACACTGACTCGCCACAACTTCCGTCCAAGGGCCCTCGTTGTGGTTTACGGGCTCTGACCACAGGCTGCGCTAGAATGCGACCATGTCGGCCTGATTTGGTGCAGGGCCCGTTCCACTTACTATTGGTCGCTCCAATGATTTATAGAGTCTCTTCTGATCACTCTGGAAGAGACGATTCTGGTTGAACCGTGTCGACCTCTCGGGAGATCGCCGTATCGGCTTTCCCCAAGGAGCTATTCTTTGTTTCAGGTCGTCTATGCGCTCCGTCAGATTTTGCATTATATCCGGCTGGGACAAACTAACATTTGTCCCAGCAAACGCCATCCTGACGGTGCGCACAATCCTTGGCCTGGTATTGCCTGACCTGAAGCATATCAGTCTGCCGATGAGGGCCCTAGCCTTTGCGATACGTTCTTCAATTCTTGTTCTCCAGGCTGGGATAGCACTACTTTGTCCAGTAGCGCCGTCCAGCCGTGGAAAGTTTGGCGCCTATAATACGGCAGACTGCCAGTGCGGCGCCAAAAAGACTTGAGTCCGTATCGCAAAGGTCCCGGCTGGCTTCCAAATAGGTAACCAGCATTGGGTTCAGAGCCCTCACGACAGCCCGATTCCGCTTGCTTAGGGCTAAGCGGGGAAGTCGCGGTCGATTTTCGAGAGTCGTACTGCGCGTTTCCACAATCGCCTCTTCCAATGTACTCCTCATTTGCTCTAGTTCCAGTTCCTGGGCGACTGTTCCATCATCGTTTGAATCAGCCACAACTGGCGTATTCACGGCGGCATCCACATTTGCCGTTTGCTCAGCAACTTGTGGCCCCGCATCCTCAGCCGCAGCGTTTTCACCCGATGAAGGAACAGCCTCACGTCGTAGCCGTTCGAGTTCGGTGACATCAAATGTATTTGAGCGCAAGATATACCGAACTCGGTCTGCCAGGTTTTGCTCGGTGACGGTTACAGATGGCTCCAGCTCAGCAAAAAAGTCGATGCATCCTTGCCCGATACGCGAAACCTCCAGTTTCTCCCCCTTTCGCCCTAAAATACGCCCGCAATGCGTTGCTGTTCATCTGGGTTGTCCAACGCATGCGTCGTACTCCACCAGTGGCGGGTGCCGATTGCTGAGCCCGAGAAGACCCTGCCGACACCAAGCCAGCTGGTGGGGATAATGAATGCGAGGGGCTGCTGGGTGGTCGTGCAGCACCTCGCGCTCGGCTGGCGGTTCGCATGCTGTCGCGTCCAGCGCCAGCTCCAGACGCGCCCTGGCGACCTCCAGGCAGCGGCCCTTTGCGCGTTCCATTTGATTCCATCATCCATTTTAGGGCGTCATTTAGCGGGAGACGCCCAGACCCGGCGCCGTTTCATGGTTAGGCCATGTGCACAAGCGGGCCTTGGCACCTTCAATTTTTGCCGAGGCACGACACTAACACCTCTTGGCAAGGTGCTGACTGACTGCGCCGACGTAGCCGGTTTTGTCACATAACCGTTATATCAGCGGGCGATGGGGTCGTCACTTCCATACGCCTTAATGAATATTATTATTATTATTATTTATTATTTAGTGTTAACAAATTATAAATAAATATTTTGTGTGTGTATATGATTAAGCCGTGGTAGCTCAGATGGTTAGCGCAAGCTGTAAATTTTACAGTACGTAACGCGGGTTCGATCCCCGCCGACACCAATTAAAATGTTAATTGCAATTTTAAGTGTTTATTCTATTGACACACTTACTTTTCTTTCTGTTATTTTCTTACGTGTGTATGATTTAGTGTTAAAAATTTATATTTAAATTTTGTGTGTGTATATGATTAAGCCGTGGTAGCTCAGATGGTTAGCGCAAGCTGTAAATTTTACAGTATGTAACGCGGGTTCGATCCCCGCCGACACCACTTAAATTGTTAATTGCAATTTTAAGTGCTGATTTACCACGTGCTCGGCGGTGAAGGAAAACATCGTGAGGAAACCTGCATGTCTGAGAAAATTTCGACGGCATGTGAAGTTCGCCAACACGCATTGAGACCGCGCCGCGGACATTTCCCTAGCCATAAATACAAAGACAATAGCAGAAAGTAAAAAGTTAAAAAATACTTTTTTTAACAATGACAGTCATTAGTTGATCATTAGTAAATGTGATTCTGTTTTCTTAAATTACAGGAAGAAAAGAGCAGAAGGAAGAAATGGGGTGATGGGAAGTAATGTGTTATGTGAAGTTTGTTGGAACAAACATATTTTAGTCACGTGTAAATACTTTTAACATTTTGGTTCAAAATGAAACAAAATCTAAAACATATTAGATACATCATCGACATGGACGGATTTTACATTACATATCCTCATAAACATTTTCAATGTAGAGAAATGGCTATTCTAGACGTAAAACTATCTAATAAAAATGATTCGTTTATCGATCATTATTTGTTTCAGCCAAGTTATCCTTTCAATTATTTGTCGCCAAAAGACAAAAAAACTGTTCGTTATTGTGAAATACACGTGCACGGCATTCCATATTTTGATGTGACCGAAGAATTAAAATGTGCCTACAAACAAGAGAACATCATTCCCATATTAAATTGGTATATTAGAAATTTGTGCAAAGACGAAGTGATCGCATACAAAGGTGGTTCAACAGAAAAACAATTTTTAAAAATGTTGACGACGAATGATAGAATTTTTAATATTGAAGAATACAAATGTCCAAAATACAATGATTTGGTAAATGTCATAAATTTAAACAAACGTTATGTGTGTAATAATCATATATTTGCAAAAAATAATCACAAAATTTTACATTGTTCTTGTGACGAAGTGTGGGTTTTTTTACAAGTGGTTATTGCTTGAAAATAAAATTTTAAATTAATCATAAATTTTGTTTGATTTCCAAAAAACATTAGACAAAATTGGTTCAACAGAAAAACAATTTTTAAAAATGTTGACGACGAATGATAGAATTTTTAATATTGAAACGAATTTTTAATATAGAACAATGTAAAATTTTGTGATTATTTTTTGCAAATATATGATTATTACACACATAACGTTTGTTTAAATTTATGACATTTACCAAATCATTGTATTTTGGACATTTGTATTCTTCAATATTAAAAATTCTATCATTCGTCGTCAACATTTTTAAAAATTGTTTTTCTGTTGAACCACCTTTGTATGCGATCACTTCGTCTTTGCACAAATTTCTAATATACCAATTTAATATGGGAATGATGTTCTCTTGTTTGTAGGCACATTTTAATTCTTCGGTCACATCAAAATATGGAATGCCGTGCACGTGTATTTCACAATAACGAACAGTTATTTTGTCTTTTGGCGACAAATAATTGAAAGGATAACTTGGCTGAAACAAATAATGATCGATAAACGAATCATTTTTATTAGATAGTTTTACGTCTAGAATAGCCATTTCTCTACATTGAAAATGTTTATGAGGATATGTAATGTAAAATCCGTTCATGTCGATGATGTATCTAATACTTTTTAGATTTTGTGTCATTTTGAACCAAAATGTTAAAAGTATTTACACGTGACTAAAATATGTTTGTTCCAACAAACTTCACATAACAATTCATTCTTCATTACTTCCCATCACCCCATTTCTTCCTTCTGCTATTTTCTTCCTGTAATTTAAGAAAACAGAATCACATTTACTAATGATCAACTAATGACTGTCATTGTTAAAAAAGTATTTTTTAACTTTTTACTTTCTGCTATTGTCTTTGTATTTATGGCTAGGAAAATGTCCGCGGCGCGGTCTCAATGCGTGTTGGCGAACTTCACATGCCGTCGAAATTTTCTCAGACATGCAGGTTTCCTTACGATGTTTTCCTTCACCGCCGAGCACGTGGTAAATCAGCACTTAAAATTGCAATTAACAATTTAATTGGTGTCGGCGGGGATCGAACCCGCGTTACGTACTGTAAAATTTACAGCTTGCGCTAACCATCTGAGCTACCATGGCTTAATCATATACACACACAAAATATTTAAATATAATTTGTTAACACTAAATAATAATAATAATAATAATAATATTCCACAACTATCACACAACGCCATCTAGTCCCAAGCTAAGCAGAGCTTGTGTTATGGGTACTAGACAACTGATAAACATACTTATATATTTCTAAATACATAAATATTATAGATAAATTACACCCAGACACAGAACAAATGATCGTGCTCATCACACAAACATTTGTCCTGGGTGGGAATCGAACCCACAACCTCCGGCATAACAGTCAGGGTCACTAACCACTAGACCAACAGGCCTGTCGTTCAAAATCATACACACGTAAAAAAATAACAGAAAGAAAAGTAAGTTTGTCAATAGATTAAACACTTACATCTATGGCCTTTGATGCGTTGAAGTAACACAAATGTATTATTGATAGATACACTGCGGTCAAACGACCATACACTAACTCCATGACTGCAGTTGCTTGGTCTTATATAGTACCAGTAAGTAATAATTCTGATCTAAAGAATTTCTACAGTAGAATTGATAATAACTTTATGCGTCAACAACCTTATCTCACATTCTTCGTGTTGCGTCTTATTCAGTGTATTGATGACTCAAATACGTTTTGTATAACAGAAAAAAATGCAATTTAATATTTAGAAATCACATAATTGATCATTCCTATGTTAGTCATTGAGTAGATTGTACTGTAGTAATCTACTAATAGCAGTAATATCATGGATACACTAGATGTACAACAACATCTGAAAAAGATTCACCCCAGTCTAGAAAATAATGTTTATGCTGCTAACAGACTGCCCATGTACACCCACTTACCAACGTATATACCTAGTCAGGTCATAAGTATTGTCACACAGTAAAAACTTTTCTTTTAGAATGCTGGCCACAAAAAAGTTTATTGAATTCGAATTGTTCATGAAAATAAAACTGTATACTTTTTAGAATTTTACTCATTTTTACATATGGAGTGGACGCTTAAAAAAGACCGTGTTGCAGTTGCGATTACGCGCCAATTAAATTTTTTGATATACTGAAAAATTTGAATATAACCAAAAGATTCGTTTATCGTACCATCAAACGATACAATGAAGACTCTAGTGTAGATGACAGGTCAAGAAGTGGTCGCCCTCGATTTGTTAGGACTCCAGCAGTGATAAAAGCTGTAAAGGTGCGAATTCAAAGAAATCCCAAACGTAAGCAGAAACTGTTGGCCCTTCAGATGGGGTTAAGCAGAACCACGGCGTTAAATGAAGACTTAGGGCTTTGGGCATATCGAAGAAAAACAGGACATCGTTTGAATGCTCGTCTAATGGATCTGAGACTGAAGAGATGCCGCGCTTTGGTGAAGCGGTACGCGGGAAAAAAATATCGGGAAATCTTTTTTTCGGATAAAAAAAATTTTTACCGTAGAAGAGAGCTACAACAAACAAAATGATAAGGTGTACGCACACAGTAGTGAAGAAGCGAGCAACCGTATTCCGCGTGTCCAACGAGGTCATTTTCCATCCTCGCTCATGGTATGGTTGGGAGTTTCTTATTGGGGCTTAACAGAGGTACATTTTTGTGAGAAAGGTTAAAAACGAATGCAGTTGGGTATCAAAATACAGTCCTGACGAACCTTGTGTAACCTGTTTCTCATACCATGTTCAATAACAGGCACTGGGTATTCCAACAAGATTCGGCGTCAGCTCATAGAGCGAAGAGCACACAAGACTTTTGACAGCTCCGTGGCGTAGTGGCTTAGCAATGAGTGGCTGCGCTTGGGGGTCGCGGGTTCGAATCCCGCACGGAACAAGTATTTGTACGACCTACAAGTAATTGTTCCGAGTTTGGATGTTTGTCCTTGTGAAATTTGTGTTTGTAAACTGCCCCCACGATACAGGAGAAAAACCTAGTGTGGAGGTAACGTTCTTTAAAAACAAAAAAAAAAAGACTGGCTGGCGGCGCGTGAAATCGACTTCATCCGACACAAAGACCAGTCCAGATTTGAATCCGTTAGATTACAAGATATGGTAACACTTGGAGGAAAAGGTGTGCTCAAAGCCTCATCCCAATTTCGAGTCACTCAAGACATCTTTAATTAAGGCAGCCGCCGATATGACATGGACCTCGTTCGTGGTGAGATAGACGACTGGCCGCGCAGATTGAAGGCCTGTATTCAAAATTACGGAGGTCGTTTTGAATAAACCTCACCGAACTATCCACAGGCTAACGGAAAATGAAAACGCGCGGTGCAAATAGTTAAGTCTTTGTTAATTAAAGCTTTCAAAGGGAATAGTGACTTTGAACTTACAGAAATACTTCGAGACATGGTTT